TATTTAGCATTTTGAAAGGTACGTAAACGAGTTTCAAAAACATATCCCGGAATCTTCATATAATGTAACCATTTGTTAATGACAGTTCCCAAAACCAAGGAGCAGGTCTTTGTCTATGTTTTGATATATTTGGACACCATTTTGAATGGAAAGGCAGACTGAACCTTTCAAAACTGCACTGTTTTAATTTTAATTTTAGTTTTCTAGAATTCTTGAACTAAATAAGAATATAAACTCCCTAGTCACCATATGTAGCCAAACTCTTAGCAAGAGCAATCAAGTAATTAAATCGTTTATAGTTCATTAATCATGTCCCTTAAAATCTTATTCTGAAGATTGGGATAGAGCCTGTGGCCCTCCTGATATTGTTAGAGTCCAATTCCCATCATTCCTGACCACTAGTCATGTGGATGAGGGCTAGATGTTAACAACATTGGGAGAGCCACAGGCTTTCTAGTTGTAATCATCAGAACAATCCTATAAGGCCTATTGGAGATGTATGATGAAGCTAAGAAAGATGGTCATATTCAGTGTCCTCTGTCTACTAGAGAAGAACCCTTACTCCAGCACAGGCTTCCTCAACCGCGGCCCTCCAGGTGTTTTTGGCCTACAACTCCCATGATCCCTAGCTAGCAGGACCAGTGATCAGGTATGATGGGAATTGTAGTCTCAAAACATCTGGAGGACCATGGTTGAGGAAGCCTGTTCTAGCAGATGGTAGAGTTTAAAGGCAATGGAATGGAAGCAATGGAAGCAAGTGCAACAGTTTTGCTAGTTGAAGACTGCACAATAGTCTTCAGAAAATGTTTTTGGGTTTTCACTTGTGGAACAACAGTGTCATTTAAGTTAGGACACAGCTTACCAATTGACTGAGTTAAAGTATCTATTAAGCAACTCCCTTATAAAGGCTTCTAGGGCTGAAGGGGGGGCAACACAGGTGAAACCAACCTGATGGCAATCACAAAATGTCTCTCCTCTCACAGTACTTCCTCTGAAAATGGCTATGTTATGCAGGCTCTCACCCCTCATGGTTATTCTTCTAACAACAGCCTGCTTCTGCTGGTCATTCTGAAAATCTATGCCCTGGTGGTCAACACAGAGTGTCTCATTACTCGTCACTTCATCCCATCAGCACAACATGTACACAGCAAGTATACTAAAATACTTTAACTTAGCACTACATCGGTTACACCTCACAGTGTGTGGCCTAATGCCACCTAGTAAGATCTACAATTCAAAATAGTGATTTCTTGATCCATAGCACAATCTACTTAGTCACTACGCTACTCAAAAAACCTGGCAATAAGCATTAATAAGGTGTAACTAATTTAATCGCGTTACTTTTTTTCTTTTTTACTTTCTTTGTTGAAATCAATGGGGTAATGTAATCTCATTCATCCAGGTGCCTGACAGAGGTCTCTGTGTTTAATTAGGCAACAAATGCTTTCCTTAACAATTTCAACAAAGCAGGGGATGTTTCTATCTATAATTCATGCTTTATTACAAACGCCAAGGAGCAAACCCAATACAGGAATAAGTGCTGTCTCAGCTGTGTAAATGTCACTTGTTTTCTGAATGTAATAAGTGTGATGTTTACCTGGAGAAATAACCAAATAGAAACTTCCATTCTCTGCATAAGTAATTTGCAAAGGGAAAGAGCAAGCTACATTACAAAGTTTCTATGTGAGCGCTGATTATTCCATTCCCACCAGAACCTAAACGGTCTGGAATTAATAGCTAGAGAACCTGCTTAGTTTTGATATAGCATATTTGCTGCATGTGGTAATAGTCTCCTGGTGGGTATCTGGGACATGTTCAGTTTCATTTGTCTTGTATTAGAAAGTCCTGAGGACACATGCAACACTTTCTGACAGGAGATTTCTGGAAATGTTAGGGCTCCTCCAGACAAACTCTTGATTAAGCATCCATCCTGATTTGCTTGCACAAAGCTTACAAGAAGGTTAGACTATGCCCTGTATTTATTAAACATTCATTCTCAGTTTGTGGGGTGCTTATGTGACAATGAGCCTTAATCCTGATTTCCTATTATTATTTATTAACTTTTATTTCTTCCTGTTGATCATTTCATCTCACACTTTTCTGTGCACTTCCTCCTAACTATTTGAAGAAAGAAAAAAGAAGTAGATTCAGTGTGATAGTGTTAATCCACTTTTACTGTGCAAACATAATTTTTCAGTGGGTAGCCTGAGTCCCACCTACAAAATAGTGACAATGTGGAGAAAACCTACTTAAAACAAGGTGCAGTATTTAAGTAAACCAGGAGGCTGGGCTGTACATGAATGACCTATGTTATATAAATGCAATCTTTCTATCAGGGCTTTTTTTTCAGCCGGAACTCACACAGACCTGACCTAACCACCTTGTGTTGCTCTGTGGATACACTGGAGAAAGAACATAATTGGTCCGTGATTTCCTCACCATGGCTCTGCTCCACTGCATGGGTTTGAGTGGCATCTCGGAGGATGAAACAGCAGAAGTAGAGACATCATCTTGCCAACAAAGGCCAGTATAGTTCAAGCTCTGGTTTTCCCAGTAGTGATGTACGGAAGTGAGAGCTGGACCATAAAGAAGGCTGATCGACGAAGAATTGATGCTTTTGAATGATGGTGCTGGAGGAGACTCTTGAGAGTCCCATGGACTGCAAGAAGATCAAACCTATCCATTCTTAAGGAAATCAGCCCTGAGTGCTCACTGGAAGGACAGATCCTGAAGCTGAGGCTCCAATACTTTGGCCACCTCATGAGAAGAGAAGACTCCCTGGAAAGACCCTGATGTTGGGAAAGATTGAGGGCACAAGGAGAAGGGGATGACAAGAGGACGAGATGGTTGGACAGTGTTCTCAAAGCTACCAGCATGAGTTTGACCAAACTGCTGGAGGCAGTGGAAGACAGGAGTGCCTGGCATGCTCTGGTCCATGGGGTCACAAAGAGTTGGACACGACTAAACGACTAAACAACAACAACATATGCACAGGGGTGAGACACTTTCTTTTCTGGATGAGTGTCCATCCCTGATTTCTCTACATCAAAGGTGGAGAACCTGTGGCTTTCAATATGTTGTAGGACTCTAACTCTCATTAGTGATGGGAGTCGTAGCCTAATAACATCTTGAGGGACATTGATTCTGCATCCTGGGTCTACAGGCAGGATCTCAGTAGGGGATCAAATAAGGATATTTCCTGGCCTTACCAGGAAGTACCAGGGATTGAACCTAGGGGATGCTGCATGGCAGACACTTGCTCTACAAATTAGCTATAACCTTTTTACAATGTGGACTCTTATGTGTGCACATACTATATGCTAAGTTTGTTTGCTTGCTTGTTTATATATGCTGCTTGATTGTAGTTAAAACCTTTAAGTGGTTTATTAGAAATATTTAAAAAAATCAACAAATGGTTGAAAATAAATAAAATTAATTAAAATCAATAGTAAAAGAGATTAAAACCTGTTTTAAGCAGGCACTGAAAATAATACAGGAAAAGCCCCTGTCTGATGTCAACCAGCAGGGAGTTCCAAAATGTAAGTGCCACTACATAAAAATATCAACTTCTGATTACAACAGAATATTATGTGGCATCTGTAATTGGACATATATAGTGTCAGATGATCTCTCAAGTAAACTGGCCATTACTTTTCACAATGGCTGCAGTATGTGTCTTTATATATTTGGCACTCAGGTATAAAATGTCATGTGAATGTAAGGAAACTTCCATTTCACAAAAGCAAACAGGCACTTATATTGTGATGAGCTTTCAGTATGAGCAGAATAAACTGTCAACTGCTCAGGCTTGGAAAGATCAGTTTAATATCTCAGGGTCAGACCAAAGCCTCTCCCTCCCTCTGACTGCCCTACCCCTGTGACTCCCCCCCCCCCCCACCAAAAACACACACAAAGGCATATGATAACTTACAACTTTTCAAGAATGATTTCTAGGTGTTTTAGAGTGGGGGAAATACACTTCTGAAAGATAGGGAGTATTCATTACGGCATTGAAAAGGTTCTTTAGGAGCAAAATGATTTGATCACAGATGCTACAGAGCTCAGAATAACACTTTTAGAACTGCCCTTCCAGTTATTTCCAGGACTATTACCACTGCTCTTTTTACCAGACCATTTTTAATATGCTATCTCCTAGCCAAACCTACCTTATTTATTTATTCCATTTCTATACCACTTAATATATTCAAAAAAAAATCTTTAAGTGGTACACAGAAAACTAAAGCATCAAAAGACAACTTAAGCAATAACCAATTTTACAAAAAAATTAAACACTTGCCTATAAAAATGTTATAATAATACAAAATTACCAATGCATATAAACCAATATCAATTCCTTCTTCCAATACACCTCTCCTTTCAGCCTCCTTCACATACTCACCCTGGGTCTCAGCCAGGGCCCAAGCAAACTCAAATCTCTGCTTCAAAAATTTCAAAAAGAGGAAAGTCACTAGACACTGCTGACAGCACCCTAGTTTTTCACTCTGGGCTTGTTTCTTATGGGTATGCTCAAGGAGGATGAAGCAGCCTCAGGCTGCTCACAGCTGTGTCCATTCATTCTCCACATCAAGATCCAGATACATCATGTTTCCAGGTGGTCCCTTAAAAGTACACTCCTCAACTCACATGTCTTTCTCTAGCCTCTGCTCTCTCCTACTACTATTTATAGGATTGTTGTCAGCACCCAACTGTCTCAAGAGGCAATGGAGTATGCATCCAGGGCTGAAGTCAAACCACCATGCTAGCAGCACCAAAGTAGCTATCTGGGGCACAGGCCTGGGCAGTGTGTATGGAGGTCCTGGGCTGCCAATACAACAAGGCCCCAATCTTGGCCTCACTGATGTGGCCCAAAGGAAAGCAGAACAATATATGCGGTACCAGCTTGGCTTGCAGGGGTTCCTAGAAGGAGGCATACAACAGTGGTGTGTAGTGAAATTTTTCATAGGGGAACAGTTAGGGCCATATGTGCATTGAGAATTTGTGGATGTGGGGGTGATCTGCCTGCAACATCTGTCATTGATCACCAGGGTTGATTTGGCTGATTTGGATGGCTAGGCAGGTGTCCCTTTCATCCCTCACTGCTTTATGTGTGTCCCTCCTGAAGCTGTGCACTTGGTGGAAGAGGACAACCATCTCAGATAGAAGGAGTATACCATTCTTTGGTCAAAGGTTTATGATAGCTGCGCTCCTCTGCTAGAACCTCCACCCAGTATTGCTGGGGAAATACTGGATTTCAAAGTACAATACCCTGTGTGTTCAGCCTGGATGGTCGATAAAATCCAGACACCAAATGTCAGTCAAACAGGAGGCTTATTTAGGTGCAAGGCCAGTGCAACATTACCTCAACCAGCAAGTACCGTATTTTTCGCCCCATAGGACGCACTTTTTCCCCTCCAAAAATGAAGGGGAAATCTGGGTGCGTCCTATGGGGCGAATGCAGGCTTTCGCTGAAGCTTGGAGAGCGAGAGGGGTCGGTGCGCACTGACCACTCTCGCTCTCCAGGCTTCGGGAACACATCCGCAGCCTAGGCAGCCCTGTGGGAGTTCCCGCAGGGCTCCCCACGCTGCGGATAGCAGCCTGCCACCCAGCGAGCGAGGCACCCTGAAGCAGAGCGCCCCTCGCGCCGGGCAGACATCCGCAGCATGGGGAGCCCTGCGGGAGGTCCCGCAGGGCTCCCCACCCTGCGGATAGCAGCCTGCTGCCCAGCGCCTGGCGCACCCTGAAGCAGAGCGCCCCTCGCGCTGGGCAGACATCGGCCAGCCCCACAAGCTCGGGGGACAGCGGGGAGGCGCAGCGCCGCCATACCGCTGTTCCCCGACCTGGTTTTGGGGGAGAAATAAAGAAAAACATTTTTTCCTTTATTTCCCCCCCCCAAAAAACTAGGTGCGTCCTATGGGACGGAGCGTCTTATGGGACGAAAAATACGGTAGTTGACGGGTGGCACACCAAATATGAAAATGGCACGCTTGTACCATTTATACACCTATCAAGCAAAGGGGTAGTTATGTCCATATATGGCAGCACTTCCTTCTACAGTGGTACCTCGGGTTGCAGACGCTTCAGGTTACAGACGCTTCAGGTTACAGACTCCTCTAACCCAGAAATAGTTCCTTGGGTTAAGAACTTTGCTTCAGGATGAGAACAGAAATCGTGCTCTGGCGGCGCGGCAGCAGCGGGAGGCCCCATTAGCTAGAGTGGTACCTCTAAGAACAGTTTCAGGTTAAGAACGGAACTCCAGAACGAATTAAGTTCTTAACCCGAGGTACCACTGTACCAGCTTCTACTGGGTTAATCACATGGCATGTGCTATAACTACCCTTAACAGCTATAGCAACAACTCCTGTGTACATGTCGTTCCATCCTTCTCACTGTTCTCTTGCAAGCACAACCTTCACATTCTAACTTTCACTTCACTTAGCCCTTCTCACACACATTTTCAATTTCAATTTTCTTTAATTCTTTAATCCCTCTATGATTTTATTCTTCTTCTTCAGATGCCTTTCTGTGTTCCATTCTTTAATTCGTGGATTTGCTGATGAAGTTGGAGTTGCACATTCCTTTGTGGGCCCGCTATTCATGGCCATCACTGGTGATTAAAATGAACGTAAAATGACCCTAGGGAAAAATCAAGCAACATAAGAAAACTGTATATGTTATATTTAAAAACCACACTAAACTTGATTTGAATTATATTTGAAGTCATTATTAATTTTCTAGCTAACACAGCCTTCGTGAAATGGAAGAGGAAGGCAATAGAAAGCTTGCTAGGATTTCATTTCAGGAATTTTCTTTGCCTTTTAGGATTCTGACTTGTTGCCTTACCACAGTGGCACCTTGGTTTTCGAATGGAATCCATTCCAGAAGACTGTTCAACTTCCAAAACATTAGAAAACTGAGGCACAAAGGGTGGTCTGCAAATTCAATAGAGAAAATTGAAAGAAAAAAAAACTCAGCGGAAGCCATTTGACTTCCAAGGCATGTTTGAAAATGAAAGCATTTACTTCCAGGTTTTCAGCATTCAAAAACTGAAACGTTCAACTTCCAAGACGTTAGAAAACCGAGGTACCACAGTATACTTTATATACAGTTAAAGCCTCTGTGGTTATTTCTACTTGAGATGGGTGACATATTCTTATCAGGTCTGCTATTCATCATTCCTCTGCTTTAATGATGGAGAACAGGCCTGTAAAATAAGTGTTCTGAGCAATATGAAGCCATAGCTGGCAGGTGGGAGTGTAAGACATGCTCCACAGCATACATAAGAGTAATCATCATAATCAGGTCTGGCCAAGAGTGCATGTGGAGTGAAGGAAATCAGGTAATGTGCATGCACATCTGAACCAATGCAAACTCAACCAAAAGAGTGTAGCTTACTTTATTAGACCTCCACAGAGGATTTGGATTTGCTCTTATAAGAAAGTAATGCCCCTGTTCCAACAATTTACCATTGTCATAGTCCTTGTAACAAGCTTTTTGATCCAACCCCATTGGTGAGATGTACTTATAGTCATACCTCCGGTTATGCAATCCTTTGGTTACATAAACTTCGGGATGCACGCGTGGCAAACCCGGAAGTATTTTACCGGGTTTCATTGTGCACGCATGCGCAGAAGCGGTCTGTGCATGTGCAGAAGTGGTCCTCAGGTTGCAGAAACCTTGGGGTCTGACCGGACCTCCGGAATGGATCCCGTTCGCATCTGGAGGTAGCACTGTATTTGAGTTTTAGGGCATTTTATCATGCCTCTGATCTTTCTACCAGAAACCACCCAGACTTCCTACTGAGTTCAAAGCAAAATCATTACCATACTGAGTTCACCTTCAAATAATGCTATATTGCTTTTTAAGAGGAAAAAACAACAACTTTTAGTTTTGTTTATAAATCATAGTGTATTGATCTCCTATTCACTGTGCTCTGGGTGGTTCAGTTCATCTTAATAGACCATAATGATTATTATTTTCTTTCCGCAAATCATACCAAGCATATTTTTTCTTTATTTTGGACTGCAGCCTGTGATTTAGAATAGGTCAATGCCCAGTAGTATTATGGGGTGCCAGTTCAGCTTAATGTGGGTTGCAATTTACAATGCGGGGAAGAGAAGGGAACACTTTTGCTCCCTATCTATTGAGTTGTACAGTGAGAAGTGCCTTTCAAGTATTTACTCCTCAAATTATATCTTGCTTCCCAATAAACTGGGCTACGTGATGTACTCACCTGAAAATTGCACAGATGATTATAGTTTGCAACCAGTATACATCTGTATATACAATCACCTTCTTTTGTCTGCCTTTCATAGCAGTCATAGGACTGGTTGCTCTGATTGAGGAAGGCCTCATTAGGGTGTTTTTAGGCAGATGTGTGATAATGCATTTTTCATGCAGCCTATCACACAGAAAGCAATACAATTCCAAGTTTCCAGCAATAGGCACATCCCAAGGAATAGCCTGTGAAACAACACAATAAATCAAAAATTAGGAATGCTCCCCATCTAATACTAGAAGCTTTCCTGCAAGAATTAACAAAAGGATATTTAAATATGCGCACTGCCACCACCCACCTGGCTGCAATTAGCACATCAATCAAAGGGGGGAACCATATGCTCTCCAAGAACAATGCCCAGTTGCAGCCATTCCACTTGCCTTTGTTAACTCCAGTCCATCAGAAGCCCCACCACTGAGCTGGCTGGGGCTAGTTGATAGTTTCTGGAGGGGAGGAACAAAATATCTCCATCTGTCTCTAACTCCATCTGCAAAATATCTCCATCTGCCTCTAACTCAAGGTAGCGAGTACCCCTCCATTGACCTGCTTGGGACCATGTACCATTTGAAGTCTCCTTGTTCCCATTGGTGTTCTGGGGACTCCCCATTGCAGCCTATTTACATCAAACTTTCATGTCTAATTATCTTTTGCTGATAATAAAATATAATTTGTCATTGTTCTTTAGCATGCCATTCTTCCACTGACATTGTTTTGTAATTAAGACACATTACTTTGGGGGTGACGCCTCATTATCTCTTCAAATAGCAAACATTGTGAAATGATTAACACAATTTACATTAAATCTGCCCTAGTATGGGGAACAATGATTCCTTGCCACATGAATATTAAGTGATTGTTATGCTTTTAGTGCATCTGATGGGTAGATAGATGTCATTATTTCTAGGGAATAATAATCTAATTTAATATTAAAAAGAATCAGTGGTACTATTTTCTCAAATGCAATTTACAACCAATTTCATGCATTGTATCCAACAAAATCATACTCGGAGTAGACCCACTGACTTCAATGGTCATGGCAAAACCAAGTCTATTAACATCAATTGATCCACTCTGCATATGATTCACATACTTCAAAACATGGCTTTTCAGTTGATATAAGACTCAGAACACTCACCTGTTCTTAGAGGAGTCTCTGCAATCATACTATGGAGGGAATCCTTTGCTAACTGCCATGTTGTTTTATTCTGGTACATGGGCTCATGTGGGAAAACAGAAACCCAGGGCAAGGCACTTCAAATTTCCAATGAAACAATTGTAATTGTTTAACCTCTGGTGCAAATTTATGACACAACATAGCCATGGAAGAATAATTGCTTTTAGTGGGAGTTTCCTATATTCAGTAACTGTATCACTCCCCTGCCTGCAGCAGTGGGTGCATTTGTCCTCATCCCCCTTTCTCAAAGAGCAAAGTAAGGTCACATGGGGTCCAAGGGCAAATCTGAAGGATCTGAGTAAGGTGTCTTAGTCCACCCCTCCCCATAGCTCTTCCTCCTTGTGTTTCTGCTGTACTATCTCTCCCTATATGCAATGTAGACTTTGACTAGTTGTCTGTTGAAGGAGCTGAGTGGGAGGATTTTTGGAAGGAATCCTTGATTGGCCTTAGGGTCCCCATTTGTTTGCCTACTTCACACTGCTGGGAATAATTTGTTTGACATCTGGGAGTGGTTTGGTTTACTTTCCCACCTTCCTTTGAGTCCAGGCAGGTGAGGAAACTGGGGGAAATACTTTAGGTATACCAAGGCATTGTTAGGTTACGGTCACCCTCCCTAGGAATCTGCCAACACATTATTCTGGGTGACACTTGGAAGGTGTCCCCTAGACCTGACATGCCCAGTTTGGATGAATACTTTACAGTGGGGCATGAATGTGCATGTTAGGTTCATGCCCATGGCTCACCTGGAAAGAAGGAAGGCACTTCCAATCCTTCACTAAGGAGCCACAATTTGCAGTTGTATCACATACTTCCCTACCAGAGACTCCTATATCCCTCAACTGCATGTACTTTCTGAAT